GTGTGGCACTCCTGAGGTGAAAGTGGGATATGAAGGCGGTGTTGTTGGGGATCCTGGTGCTGTGTCTGAAAGGATCACGAGGGCCTTGCTGCCCTCACGAATTCCGGGGGGAGCTGCCAGGGCCGTTCCCAGAAGCTGGAGCTGCTGTGCAGCTCTGGGAGCCTGAGGAGCAGCACCTGTGGCAGCAGCACATGGAACTGTGTGTGATGATTCCAGGTGTTTTGTTAAGAGGTCTCCGTGACCAACTGCACAGAGGTGTCAGTTGTTCTGTTACAAAATTCAGTCTGGATTTTATGGAGCTGCTACAACGGGAATTCTGCTCAGTCTGTGGCCACTGCTAAAATTCATTATCCCAATAGCTGCCTGCCAACTCTCCCTTTCATGTCTGTGTGGTTGCAGTCAAGAGTTCTAAAGGGGATTAAACAGTAAAGTCTTTATCTCTGCTTTCATCTGTCTTGGGAGTATGTAAAAGAAAAAAGGGAATGATACTAAATTAAAGGGAAAGGTAATAAATCATGAAAAATTATTGGAGAAAAGAGTATAGCACATTGGAAGTGATTTTCCTTTCTTTTCCTTTTCAGATGATATGTTTGACCTCCCGTTCCCAGATGACATGGACAATGACATTAGAATTTTGATAACAGGGAATCTTCACTCTTCGCCAAATTCCTCCCCAGTTCCTTCCCCTGGATCACCATCTGGCACTGGAGTGGGATCTCACTACCATCACAGTAGGGTAAGGCTGGAGCACCATAGGGCACACACTGCTTAAAATAAATACAAAGAAAGACCCAAATCCTCCAACAAAATCTTTTTCCTTTAGATCCTGACACATAATTAGGTCAACAGCAAGCAAAAATTAGGTTAAAGTTGAAGGTCACAATACTGCTGGAGGTGTCTCTGCATTGGCTGTTTGCACCCTCCAAGTTAATTGTTGGTGGATGGATAACTGAGGGGGAGAGAGCAGGAGGAGAGCACCTTTATTTTTGTGTGGCACAGCCATTGCTCATCAATTCTTTCCTGGAAAATCCTATGGAATGTCCCTTGCACCAAGTGACAGAGTATTTGAGAGAAGGGAAGCTGTGATAGCCCTGTTCCCGTGGCTTTCAGGGGAGGCAAGAGGGAGAGAATTCTCCCAGTGATGAAACTCTGCCCATGGAAACTCCACAGGTGCTGGATGGTTATGTAAATGTTGTTTTCTTAGGAATATTTAGCCCAGAGCACACAGCACTTGGGAGTTATTTTTGTTTGAAGTGGCTTTTATAAAGTCAGTTCCAACATCAGTGATTACTTAAAATGCAAATTATTTTTGGTAATTCAAGTTACTTTCTTGAATTGGCATAACTTGGATCAGGTTTGATGGAACTCTTCCACTCCCACATTTTATCATGTAAGACTGAGCTGTTCTCTTAAAACGGTTTCCATCAAAATCAGGTAAAAGTTTTATACTTCAAAAATTTCTGTGAAGTTTTGTTCTAAAAGTATTACATTTAAAGTAGTAGCATATTACTTCTTTTCTAAATAATGTTTTATGAGATAAACTTTTATACCATTTTTGATATGTCAATGAGATGTCTCAAGATCCGAATTCTAACTCCTGAATGTGACTGACTAAACGGTGGTAGTTTCACCCCTGGAAGTAGAAAGTCCTAGCTATTCTTTTCCTTGCAAACTGCCAAAATGCCTCAGGGCAGCTTCAATACAGTCAGTGAGGGAGAAATGCCTCCTGCCTCAGCCACAGAAATCTTGATCCTGTATTTTGTGAGCTCAGTTCACAACCACCTTGTGTGGATGGTGCGTCTCTCCCATCAAAGGCTTGATAACAGCACATTGCTGTCCCAGTTATTCCAGACTGGTGTGGGAGAATGAAAACTTCTAAATTCTGCTGCCAAACCCTGAAGCGATAAATCACAACTCCTCACTCTCTCCCCAGTTCCCTCAGCAATCCATTCTGTCCCACCCAAGCTATGCAGAGCTTGCTTTCAGTGGAAATGAATCCATTGGGAATAGCCCTGGGAGGTTCATGGCCTGAGCCCAGAGCCCCGGACAAGCCGTTTCCAGCTGAACCTGAGTAATTCCCATTAACCATTAAGCCAGGTCTGGTAATTGCAGTGTAATGTTTGGCTTTAGCAGAGCAGCAGTGTGTGATCATCCCCCCGTGGGCCTGGGGTCATGGAAATAATTGATGGTTGGGCACTGGCCCCGTGTGCTGGCCTTCCAATGCTGCCTGCTCCAGGCTTTTTCCCTGCCTTGGATTCCTGTCCAGACCCACTGGAAGGGATTGGTGAGGGGAGAGATTTGTAACTGAGCTGCTTTCTGTCCAGTGGAATATTTTTTTTTTAAACTTATTGACATGTATGGATGAAGTGAACTGCTCTCCCAGCTGTTTGGGAATCTGCAGTGCTTCTGAAACATAAGCCTGGAGAACCCAGCTACAGGGGAGTAAGGCAGGACCTGGATAACTTTGACTAAGATTCCTGACTGACTAAAGGATGGCTCATTTGTCACAGGACAGTAATTAGCAAATGAATTCACCTTCCCAGGAGTGGGATGGATTGCAAGCACTCTCTGAGCTGCCTTTTCCCTGTCTTGCAGAGCCAAGGTGAACGTCTCCTCTCCAGGGAAGCCCCCGAAGAGCTGAAGCAGCAGCCTCTGGCTCTGGGATACTTTGTGTCGACTGCCAAAGCGGAGAACCTCCCACAGTGGTTCTGGTCCTCCTGTCCTCAGGCGCAGAACCAGTGTCCCCTCTTCCTGAAGGTCTGTCACGGAGCATTCATTATCAATTGCTATTTCCATGCCTGTAAAAGCTGCAGTTGGAGTCTGTGGTGTCAGAGTGAACCTGAGACCTCCCACTCCAGAACGGCAAAACTCCAGTTTGGTTTATTCAAAAATGGTATTTGGAAAGACATGTGGTCCTGGGGGGTTCAACACAACTGCCAACTTCCCACGCTGTCCTGAGGTGATTCACAATGGATGTTTCTTGGGAATCTCTAGCAGTACCTGCTGTATGAGGAGTTAATTTTTGCTGTTTCCCTGTGCAGGCCTCTCTCCATCACCACATCTCTGTAGCGCAGACGGACGAGCTTCTACCTGCCAGAAATTCTCAGCGAGTTCCTCACCCCCTCGACTCTAAAACTACATCAGATGTCTTGAGGTAACACCCTTTAGGTGTTCATTTTTGCCCTAAACATATAGGGACAGAGCTCCAAGATTTCAGAGTAACCTTTCCAACCTATCACAATTACTTACCAGTTTTATCAGCAGTTTTTAGCCCTGCTGCGCCCTATGTGTCCAGGGCATTTCCTCCTCAAAGATGCCAGAACAGGGCCCTGAGGGGGAATTCTGTGGGCTTCCCTCTGCTGTGCACAAAGATGCCAAGGAAACTCAGAACAGTTCAGCCTTGCCAGGGTGACATCATGGTTTGCCCCCCACCCAGACTGCTCTTTTCCCCTGTCATCTAATCTGAGCTGTGCCACTCATTATCTTACCTCACCGAACCAAATGGATGAGTAGGAGGAAATAAAAGCACTCCCTGATACCTCTGTGCTAGGATTGGGGTATAAAGGAGACACTGCTCCTGAATGCATGCAGGGTGTGTGTTTTATTGTTCAGGATGATGTGAGGCCTGTTTGCCTCCATCCCACCTTTGGGGACTGGACACAGATCTGTGTGATGAGAACATGCTGTGTGGGACACCTCAGTGAACAAGCAAACATCAGCAGGGAAACAGCAATGTCTAATATAACGAAATTGGGGGGGTCTACTATTTTAGAAGATCTGAATTTGCATCCTCTTGGAGGATTGAGCTCTCATGGGTGTCCCAGGTATTGAGTAAAATGAGAATACAGTGGACAGGGAAAGGATGAGATAAAACAAGCACAAGTTACAAGATGAGAAATTGCAATTAGATACAGGATCACAGGAGCAGTGTGAGCAAATACTGGCACAGGGTGCCCAGAGAGGCAGAGGTGTTCAATTCCCAAGGCTTTGACAGCAGTGGCATTTGAACCACTGTGAGTCCAGAGTCTGATGTGTTTGGAAGGGCCTTCATGCAAACAGTTCAAACGTAGTAAAGCTAAACCCTCCTGCTTTTCAGTGAGGTTCCTCCTTTGCCAGCACCCTGGCAGCTCTGTCAGGGTGTAGATCCAGGAGAGCCCATTTACAACCCTCCCTGGGCAGGCTGTGACGTCTCTGCCTTGCTGTGCAGGTTCGTGCTGGAGCAGTACAATGCCCTGTCCTGGCTCACGTGTAACCCGGCCACGCAGGACCGCAGCTCCTGCCTGCCCGTGCACTTCGTGGTGCTCACCCAGCTCTACAACGCCATCATGAACATCCTGTAGGACACACACAAGCACTTGTTCTTCTGGCTGCTTCTCCCCTCCGCCCGGGAACATGCCACCACCTGCAAGAGCTCCGTTTGCTTCTCTTCAGACCAATCCTGTGCTGTGCTTCTGTTCCTCCAAAAGCACATGTGAATTCCGCAGTGTTCAAAACTAAACTACCCATTAACATCTCTGGCAGCTTCAGTCCAAAATCTGGGAACATCCAAGAACAGTGAACACGGAGTAACCTCAAGCCAGTGTTAGTTTGGTGGCTCAGTAACTACTGGTCAGCGTGATTATTTTTTTTAATATTTTATTTTTTTAAGGAAGACTACAGAATCTTTTTGCATTAGGAACTGATAAAGACCCACAAGCAGTGTCAGCCCTGCAAGTAAAAACCACCTTGTAGTGACCAGTTCGGGTGTTTCGTTGTTTGATCGTCGTAAACCGGGACTTTGCAGGAGGAAAAAACCACAAACACAAAACCACACAGTCATAGTCTCGTATAAATATTGGAGTTTTCTGTCTACCTGGAGTTCCTGTCAGAGTGGATTGGGATGAATGCATGCATTTGTTACCTGTCCATGTAGATATGAATGGTCTGGAGATACTTTATTTATTTTTAAGTTTGGGGAGGGGAGGGATTAAATTATAAAGGACCAGGAACAGTAGAAATACCTTAAAAATCCAGCTCCGTTCCACTGTAGGGTTATTTATCTACAGACCTCTCACTCTTCTGACCTGGAAATCAAAAGCGAAGCTCATAACAATCAAAATCTTGGAAGGGAAGCGTGTTCTGGTATAGGTATTCTGTATTTTAAAGAGTTCTCCCCTGTGTTTAGCCTGGTTAAAGCAAGGAATGACCAGTGTTTAATGAAGGATAACACTACCTAAGGGAGAAGAGTGAGAGGGAGGTAGGGAGGAAAAATACTTTAAAGCCCAGTGTCAGGGCAAGTGGAAAGTGGTAAATTAATCTATTGTAGAGCTATGATTGAAATATATTTCCAGTAAATTTAGTGATGCTAGAAAAGTATTTACTGAAAGCCAAGTCGCCCTTTAATTCTGGGTAGACTCGTCCATGTACATATCCAAAAATATGGTTTTTGTTTACACTAAATCAGTCACAAATCTGGTGTATTTTTTCTGACTATAGGAATATTATTTCAAAGAAATAATTTTTAAAAATTATATCATTAAATTAGTACTTGAAGTTACACCACTGTGGTGGCAAAGTTACTTTGTTTAGTGAAATGATTGCCATTGGGAAGGTTAATGGCTAATTGAAGTATTTTTATGACTCCTTCATTCCAGGCTCCAAGGGGGTCCTATTCCAGCCCCATTCCCTCATTTCTGGGGGTGCACTGGGCAGCAGAGGGGGCCAGGGTCAGGCACTTGGATCAGGCTGGGTGACCCCTCCCTTGGCTGTGGAGAAAAACTACCAAGTTTAGAGTTCTTCCAAAAGACTTTCATGTTCTGGTTAAAAAAAATGAAATTCTATGATTTTAAAAAGTATTTTTCTTGAGATAATGTAACATTTAAAACAAATTATATAAAATAATAAAAGAAAAAAAAAAAAGAATTGCTTGTGTTAATGAGAAGGTGAAGGCAGGAGAGGAACCTGTAAATGGATTGTTTCCTTCCCTGCTCCACCCCTCTGTGTGGGTGTCCTCTTTGCAATGTATAGGTTAAAAAAAAAAAATCTGATATCAAACCATTTGTATCTAATGTGTACAGTGTAAAATTGACTTTAAAAATATTGCAGTACTATTTTTTCTTAATCAGAAAAGAAAATTCTCAAGGCCTTTTGAAGAGCATAAAAAGATGAAGATTGTAAACTTGTATAAAAAAATTTAACTTGGGGAGGAAAAAAATGTAAAGTAGACATTTGTAATCTTTTACCATTTGGGGGTTATTTGTTCCCAGGATTCATCTGAACTTTGGATTATTATTTTGCTTATTGTTTTTAAATGGGCCGTTTTTATCCAGGGGCGTTTCTTCCCCACAAACCTGGTTCTAAGCAAAAATTAGAAATTAAAAAAAGGGCAGCAAGGAGTAGTTTTCATCTGGTGTCTTTTATTTAATTTTTTTAAGTTAAGAGAAGCTGGTGACATATTTATACGTTTTTGTGCAAAATAAATGAATGGCAATAGATTTTAAAGAAAAATCTTATGTACTTCAGTGTGAAAAGTTCTGTATAATATTTCTCTTAAATATGCATTATTTTACTTGTGAGTTTTTTACTGAATTAATCTGAAATGTACAAGCCCTGGCTTTCCTACAGAGTGAAGAAAGTTTTTTTGTTTTTTGGGTATTTTTTTTTTTTTTGGTTTGGTTGTTTTTTTTTTTTTTTTATTTCTAACTTGGAAAAATCATGCCTAAATCAGAATTATTATTACAGTTGTTTGAGCTAAAGGGAGCGGGAGGGTGGGGAATGTCCAGCATGCTTGTATGTATATTTCAGAACCTTTTTTAAATGTAAAAGCTGTACATTTCTGGGGAGTTCTGAATTTCTTTTTTTTGTTTTGTTTTTTTGTTTTGTTTTTTTTTTCCTCTGAGCATTTTGCAGTGAGCTTCTTTTATATATAGCCGACAATTTGAAAGAAAACAAAAAAAAAATGTGAAGTTCATTTTAAATCTACAGTATATCGCTGGTACAATACACTAAAAAAGACTTTGATAAAAAGAAACAATAATAATAAAAGACCTCCATTTTAAATGTCATTCATATATACCTTGTGGATGAGAGCTATATACTTTTACACACTTTTTTAGATGAATAAATTATTGAATTACTGAAACTGTTGGTGGGGTTTTATTCTTGTATTGAGCTGAGTTTTGGCATTCCCAGGGAAGGAGTTTCAAGGTGCAGATCCAGGGATGTGAATGGAACCGGAATGAAATGTTTCAAACTGTAGGTGTTGTGAGGGGAAATTGGATGCCAAGGATGGAAAATCCCACCAAAGGGATGGGTGGGAGCAGCCTGGGATAATCCAGTGCCACAGGAGCAGTGGCTGCTTTCCATGGGCAACTCCAAACCCAGGGGTCCATCAATGATGGATGAACTCCATGAGCAGCAGGTGAGTCTCCAAGAGGAGCTGGCAGGGGCAGGTCAGGCCTGGCCCCTCTCCCTGCACAGGGACAGGGCCATGGTGGCTGCAGGACTGCCCTGGATGAGGGACCAGAGGAGCTGCAGAACCCCCAGCCCACAGCAGCCGGACTCCATCATCCTTGTGGGCTCCTCCCAGCTCAGGATACTCTGGGATTCTGTGCTGATTGTGAATTCTCTGCTAAATGTAGCTGCGGTGGGCAGGGCTGGGTTGGACTCTTGGACCCCAGGTCTCTTCAGAGTGAGACACTGTGGGTTTAGCAGAGTCATTCCTAAACACAGATGTACCAAAAATGACATTTAATGAATGCTGTGACATCCCAGGATGTGTTGGAGGGGAGAAGGTTGGAGCCAGCCGTGCCATCCTGGGATGTGGGGAGGGATCCAGCTGTGCTGTCCCAGGATGTGTGGGTTGGAGCCAGCTGTGCCATTCTGGGCTGCAGGGACCAGCCCCTGTTACAGCAGTGCTGGCTGGCAAAAGGGGATGGGGGAGTTTCTGTAGACCCCAAGTGTTTCATAGCTGATCTTTGTGGCTCTCTCCCTTACAAAGTATCCTTAAAGAACTCATTTTCCATAACAACTGGAGCCCACATGAGCATCCTGTGACAGCTCCAGTGACTGGATAGAGAAACTGCCACTCCTTTCCATGGCTCTTTAATGGCCATTGGGATTTCCCAAGTAGTTGGTAATTCTTGTCCACTTTAATTTTGGTGCATCTTAGTTCTGAATTTAGAGTTACAAAAATAGTCCCTAAGATTTTACCTTTTTTAAAAATGGTCAAGCTTGTATCTTTCAGTTCATTATACTACTGTAAATGATGGTTCTAAATTACACTGTTTAATTACCCTCTCCAAGTTTGTAAAGAGCAGTTACACTTTGGCCTTCCCCTGTGAGAGCTCTAAGTGCCTGGAATTACTGTAGAGCAGTATTTGTTACATGGAGATTGCTTTGTGGCTAATTCACTGGTTTCACAGACAAAACCTACCAATTAAATACTCCGTTCAGTGAGGACTGTAAAGAAGAACTGAATGAAAACACTGAAATCTCAGTTGATTTGTAACAATAGTGGAATATGTACAAATGTGTGCGGCACTGTGGTGATAGCTCTTTAACTCCAATAAAGAAAATGCTTTTTAAGACTAGGCTGACATTAAACTACTTTTCCCAACTGCCATCTCTTTTTGACACAATGTCATGGCCGCCTGAAAGCTGTTTCAGCACATGTAGAAAGCATCAGAAACTGTGAAGTAAACATGAGGTTTATGGGCAGTCTCTCACCATTCACAGTGGAAATGGAAACAGCCCAGGATCACCAAACAGGAAGTCTTTGGTCTTTGACAACAAAGCAGGATTTATAAAATTATGCAGCTTCCATTTCCCTATTTTGACACTGAACCTTAACCCTTTGACTAAAGGTGATGTGGCAGCCCCTGGTTTGTGCTTCAATGGCTGTTCTCCTACCAGGTATCAAAGGGGCAATCCTACAGCGCATCCCATGGGATACGGAAACCTCAGGGCTGTTTGCAACCTGAAATACTCAGCAGAGGCCTGGAAGAAGATGGCCCCAGTTTCTGTGTGAGGCCAGCTGGGAATTCAGGCTGCCCTGAGCTGTCAGTTCTGGGATCCCACGGAGCTCTGCTCCAGTCTGAGCCATTCTGTATGAGCAGCTCCTGCTCTGCTACCAGGCTGGGCCCTGTCAGCCACTGCACCCATGGACACATATATCAAGTACAGCTGGTAACAGCCAAAACCATCCAGCATGCTCCTTTATCTGACAAACATCAGCTTTTCCTGATAAGAGCTACTTACTGAAACCTTTCAGAATCATGGTTAAAAACCAGCTTAGCGCAAGGGTCCCTTTGCACCAAACAAACAGGACATGGCACTGCTGGGGACTCCTTCTACAGGAACATCTTTTGTGGTCCTGCAGCACCCACTGGAATTCACTGGCTTCCTCTGATTGCTCCACAGGATCTCATCCAGTTCCACTGCCACTCTCACCTGGCTCTGAGGATACTACAGCAGTCTCTGCTGTTGACACCTTCTCTGTTCTCCAAAGCTTTCAGTTCTTAGCCAAACCCCTGGGTATCCAGCCACCTCCTCTACCTTCATATCCCAGGAATGTGAGTTCCTTCCCATAGCACACACACCTTTTCCTGTTGGACAGATGTTTCATTTCAGCAATACTTGCTCCTGCAGGACCTTTGCCATCTACCCAGAAACATCAGCTGCTCCCCAGGCAGTGATGCTTTCTCCAGCTGGGCCCTTTTAAAAGACACAGCCAGGCCAGCAGGGAACTGCTGCAGCTCACATGGCGACCAGGGCAGGCCTAGGGCCTTCACAAGTGGAATTTATTTTCCTTACACATGAAATTAGATGTATGTTTAAAAAATTCCTACCAGCCTGACACTCTCTTTGTTTTTATTTAAATATTTTGCCATTGGGAAAATGTCAGGCTGGTATAACTGCAGGAACAAACTACATCCTCAAATGCACTGCTGTTACTATGAGTATTTGGAGAACTCTCTGCCAAAAGATTTGATGTCCAGAACCCCCATCAGAAAATGAATATACACACACAGAGCCCTGCAGAAAAAGCTGACTGGTTCCTGCAATTCTATAAAACACAATCCCACACAAAAAAACCCCAAATAAAACCAAAACCACAACCAACCAAAAAACAACAGCCAGAAAAACTTTTTTACCTTTGCAGTTGGGTGAATACTTTAAGAATTCTTTTTAAGCCGACCTTTCTTTAGTAGTCTGTGATTTCCTGCAGCCAGTGACAGCTGTATCATATCACATTAATCACATCTCTGCCATTCTCCGTGTGGGGCTGTCCGTATGAATAACTGAAAGTCACATCCTTGGTCCTCCAGCAGGGGTCATGTTTTGATGGCAAATGAAACTCCAACTTCTCGCTAAACCGGGCTTTAAAAAACCAAATTAAACTGCAGAGTTACAGAGCTGGATCATTAAAGGTCAACCACGCGAGCAGGTGTGGGTTCATTGGTCAAAGTGCTCCACCCCACTTGTAATCAGTCTCGGGGGTAATTTCATTAGTGCCTGGGGAAAAGACAGGCCAGGAGAGGCAGGTGATGGGGCAGGGTGCGCATGGCAGGGCAGGGGGCTCTTAATCCCAGCAGGGTAATGGCCCATGGAAGTGCTAAAAGAATGGTGAGCAGCTCTCCGGGCTCTGGCTTCAGCAACATTGCAGTTACAAGTAATTGCCCTTGGACTTCTTTCCCCCTCTTAGGCTGTGGTGTGTGGGGAAGTGCTCTGCTATAATTCTCCATGCTGCAATGGCACATGCTGCTGCACTGCCTGAGCATCAAGGGAAAGGCAGAGGACAGAAAAGGGACCTGCACAGGCCCAAGCCTGATCTCTGGGTGATTTGAGCTGTAAACAACAAGGAGCCCAAGTGGAAAACAACTCATACCACCAAGGACCTTGCTGCATCTATGGCAATAGAGGGACAGCCCTCCTTTGCTTGGAGATTCCCCTCATCATCACTTGTTTGCCAATCTCTTTGCACTTTGTGTTGCTGACTTGTTTTTTTGATGTTGGGCTTTTTCACTAGTGAAATGTTACTTTTGTTTAGAAGAAATATCCCACACAAGTGAGCATCCCCTTCCACAATACATAACCTTCCCTCCCTAAATAAATTCAGTCAGCAGTTGAGAAAGTGTAGATACTCATTTTCCCAGAATCTCACCGCTTTTGTTATTCAGGTGACTTGGATGAGTCCCCTGTCCATTCAGGAAGCATAAATCCTTTCCTGTACAGTCTACAGATGCCTAATCAGAAAGGGGTATTTGGGGTGACCTCTGTTCCATGTGCAACACTTTGATGTGGGCTCCTCGACCCCAGTTCCCTGTTCCTTTGGAGACTTAGAGATGGTAGCCCAGGGTGCCTGTGCAGGTGAGGGGCACTGGCACTCAGTGTTAATGCATAACTACAGAGTGCCTGAGGCCAGCACTCATGGAATGAAACTGCTGTTCCAGGTTTTCTGTGCAGCTACTGCCCACCCTTTCAGCCTCCTGAGCAATGGCTTTGCAGTTATTAAGGGTGCAGTTAATCAGAAGAACAGCTCCAGATTTAATAAGCCAGTAAGGAAGGCATGCTAAAGGGATTGAGGGGAGAGGAAAGATCAAAACTCAAAAGCTTCCCAAACTGATGTGGGATTTTGTGCAAACTGCTGGTTTTGCTACTCCTTCCCTGTGTAACAATCAATGCCACTGGCTCACTGGAGCTCAGGCTCATTTTAAGGCTCTCAGGCAGAAGAATGCAGACCATTAGTTTGCAATCTTCAGTAAAGATTATATAAAATTATTTAGGACAACAAAAACTAAAACCTTCTGCAAAGACCTAAGAAAGATCCCAGAATGTTGTGAACTGGCCAATAAAATATCAGAAGGAATTCATAGTAAGACACACACACACAAAACCTAAAAAATTAAGCCAAACACATAGATGTGGAATGGCCTCTAAACTAGGATACAGATCAGGATCATTCACTTCAGGAGAAAAGAAGTGGGATGTCTGAGCCAAAAATGACCCCAGCAGGAGTGTTCTAATGCCACTCAGGCAGCCCAAGCCCAGCCCAAGCTCAGCTCCGTTCTGCCTGTGGCATGGCCCCATCCAAATCAGGCAGGACTTGAGGGCGGGGGAGAGCAGATCCTGAGCCCCTTCCCAGGACTGCTCTGAGCTCTGTGCATATCCCAGGGCACTACAGGCCCTGTGGGGAGCTGGAGGCAGGACTGCAGCCACAGCTCTGTGGCTCCACAGCTCTGGGGATGTGCCTGATCCTTCCCTCAGCTCCCCTCACCCTGGGCCACCTCGCAGCTCCTGGTGGCAAATCCCCTCCAGATCCCACAGGATGAAGCCACCCGCTTGCACACCACCCATCACCTTCCAAAAAATGGCTTCATCCCAGACCCTGATTCCAGCCAGAGGCTTGGGAAATGCCAAGATCCGCTAGTGCTTCAGTAAGTTGGTAACAAGCAGGGGCTGCACCTTCACTTCCGTCTTCCAGGTGCTCTGATGGTTCTTCTGGCTGCACTACAGGTAAAAGTGCCGGCTCTACATCAGGTTTTCATTAAAGAACTCCTCTCCTCATTCTCAACCCAGCATGTCTGAGGAGCTTGGCTGAAATTTTAGCATCGTTAACACCCCATCAATGCTGTGTGAAACATGCCTGTAGGCCAACGCTGGGGAAGTATCCATCTGGAATCCATCCCTGGCATGGATCAAAGTCACATGAGAGCCTGCCCCTGGACATTCTGGTGACTCTGCTGTGGGGACAGGAGGCTGCAGGAGTCCTAAGCACTTGAGACATCTGATCAGGTCTAGCTGTCAGTAGCCCCAACTCTGTCCATGAATTATGTTCATCTGAACAGAAGAAGCCAGGTGAACCCTCACTGCTTTGCAAGCTGAAGCCTCCAGCAAGGAGCAAGTCCCAGCTGAAGGAGGAAAGTTTGAACTCTTGTAGTTAATCTGAGGAGGAGGAAGAGCAGACATTCAGCAGCTGGCTGAACTAAGGAGCAAATCAGTGTAGAGATGGGATAGGGAAAGAAGATAATCCTACACAAAAGATCTGCTTTGTTCCTCTTGTACTTTATGTCAAGGCAGCAGAGAAGGAACTGTAAAATCTAGAACAACTCTTTTCAGAGCCTGATAAAAAATGCAGGCCATAAATGTATTACATCCCTAAAACACTTCTGCAGTGCAGGGCCTACACAACAGTTACCAGGCACACTGATCCTGCATGTGTACAGAGCCACTGTACCCTGTTTTCTTTGTTGGCCTGGACCAAATTCTGAACTTCTGTGCAGATGTGTGATTTCCACTGATCAGAACAGCACAGAGAAAGGGAGTTTCATTTAGGATAGTGCCTGATAGGTTCCCACACAGTGAGCTGGCTGAAGGCTAAATTATCTGCTTCACAGCAGTGAAGGATTGATATGCTTGAACTCTGTAAACTTGGAATTACTCAAACACCTCTTCTGACTTCAAGACTTTGGAAATAAATCAGAAGAGGCTGATTAATGCCAAGCTCACACCCTGCTCCCCATAAAGGCTCAAGAATTCAGGCATGGCATCTTTGATCCAAGAGAAGACCTTGCAATTGTATCTGTTGCGCCTGTCTCTCAACAAATGGACTCCTTTTCCCAGAGATTTTAACTCTGGCAGCACTTGGCCTCCAACACATATCAGCTGATGTATAGTGCTTGTCTGGACACATTTGGACCAGTCCTGACTCTACGTCCCTTTCTTCTCTCCCCTGCTTTCCAAATAGCTATCCCTGACTGTTTACTTTGGCAACGCCTGCAAAAAAAAATAGCCTCAATGAAAAGGCAAAATCCATTAGGAAAAGCCAGCTGAGTGCTAAAAGGCCCCTAATCAGTAGAAAGTTTAAAGAGCACCGCTCAGAGAGAGGCTGCGGTGCCTTTCCAACACCTCCCCAGCAATGTGTGAGGCTATGACATGTCAGAGTGAAGCCCCAAACACAGGCACGCTGCCAGGGGAGCTGTTTCCTCAGGGCTGAGCAGAGCCTGTGTCCGGCTGTGCTGGAGAGGGAGCTGCTGATGGAGGAGCAGCAGCATCACAGCAAGTAACTGCAACCAGACTGGTAAAAGTTCACCCAGCTGCTTCCAGCCTCAGCCCTTCTCAGCCAAAGAAACAGAGAGAGGGTTGACCTCAGCTCAGCATTACAACTGGACCAAAGCAGGAACTTGGGGTTTAAGGGCCAGTGCAGGTCCAAGTAAGGGGATCTAAGCAAAAGCCAGCTCAGATCTCAGATAAACAGTACTAGAAAAGCAGCTGCTGCTGTGGAGAAAGAAATGCCTTCAACATGTCTTGTCTGAAACACTAAATTCAGCCAAGAGCTGAATACAGTTCAAGCTAAAAGGCAGTTGCCCCAAAACACCTCTCAGCTGTGGATTCCAGGTGAGAAATGACTGCTCACTTTGGCTGTATGAGGTAGCCAATGCTCCAGCCTGGGTAGATTTACTTGCTTTGAGTTGCAATTATTTCAAACCACCATCATCCAACATTTCACAAGTGCACTGAATTACAGATTTCAAAGCACCACAAAGAAGTCAACAAACCACTCCTTTCAGTTCCCCTATGAAGAAAAGAGTTGCATGTTTTTCTTTCAAGGGAGCAATCAAAATATTTGTAATGAATCTGCTGCTCTATGAACTGTGTTTTTAAAGCTTGATAGAAACAATCAGGCTCAGGTTTAGATCATTCTCCATCTTCTAGAGACTAATACGGAGTGTAAGGGAACTTAGGCACAATTTGCCTCTAGCAGCTTTATGCCACTAAAGGATGTGAACATCACAGTCCACAGGTGAGCTAATGTAGACCCTTCCACTCTACAAAATTCTAAGACATGTTTTAAAAAGTGTCAATAATTGAAATTATGATGCTTTATAGATGCACTGAAAACCATATGAAGGAATGTATAAAAAGAGACAAAATTAGATTATATGCAAAATTGATGAAGGTGAAGTTTAGGAGGTAAAAGTTGCCCAAAAAGTGTGTGCTTTCATTTTCTGTTAATTTTTTTTCTCCCCACTTTTTTCACCTTGAGGTTAAACTCATTACTTCCTATGTCTGAGCAGGACCAAGGTGTTGCTTTTACTTACCTGCTGGATGTAGATAGTGCCAGTGTCCCACCTCCATTCCTGCAAGGAGCAGCTCTCCCAGTCAGGTTCAGCTGAGGATGTGTCACTTGGGCAGGAGTCTGGGAGCCTGAACCATTTGTAGCTTGTGAGTGTCTCTGGAACACCGAGGGTCATAAAAGCCCTTCTGAATGGGCACTTTACGGACAGCGCTCACCTTTAATGGCCTTTTTGTTGGTTACAGCTTGGCTTTTAGGCCCTTTTTGCAATTCATCACTTAATCCATACATGCTACCTTGGCCA